CCCTCCTCCAACCATTTTGGGGAAAAATGATGGACTGGGACTCTTCAGAAATTCTGTTTCTAGAAGAAAATGTCCCTCCTTTACCCCCATCCTTACTTTGTAACCTGGCTTATAACAGGCCGTCCGTTTTTGTAGCACACTTTTCAAAAACAATTATAACCTGGTCCCATCTTTCTTGGGCCTGGACCTGCTCACCCAGCAGGAAGAACAAAGCCACCGACCTTTACACAGCCCGGCTAATCATGGAGGTGTGTCCAGGCTTCGAATAACTTGAGTTTTAATTTTTTTTTTCTTGGCAGAGTAATGTAAAATTAAAATGGGGAAAGATATTTAATATTTAATACTAAGCTTTAAAAGGAAACTTGCTATCATTGCTATGTTACTTGATGCAAAGACTATGATGTAATAAAAGAACAGAAGACACTTGGCACTCAGAGGTTTAACATGTGTGGTCTCAGCTGTTTGCACACAGCTCCAGAGGATTAAAACCAGTAAAATAATTGCAGATTCTGCTGAGGCACGAAACTGAATCATAGGTATTAACAGACCTGGCACGTGCAGGCCAGTGAATGAGCCTAATTGAATTCCTGGCATCTGCTCCTCTATAGCACTTTATTTTTCTCTGCTTAGCGCACAGACATTTACTAGGGAAGTTGTTATGCTATAGTAGTGTTCAGTAATTGTAAGACACCTGCCTCGTGAGTATCAGTGTTCTACTACTTATTACTTTAGACTTTAATTCTTTTAAAACTGCCCTGATGAAGGTTGTGCCATACGGAGGTTATTCCACGCCTTTCTGTGCCGCTGCAAAGCGCCTTTCTGTGCCATTGCAAAGTGTCTTCAGCCAGACATGAATTCTGCTCGTTGGATGGCAAAAGGCCCCCAGGAGTCATTTCTGAGCTAGTGTAGGCTTCAGATGAGAATCTTCTTGAGTTTCAGAGTTGGGTTCACTTCAAGGGTCAAGTTTGCACAACTAGGAGAACAAATGATCCTTTTAAAAAAGAATCCAACTAGGTCAGCATATCTCACCCTCCAGAGAGAATCGTGGAAATGTAAATTAAAACCAAACTGAGAAGCCACTTCACTCCTAGTAAGACTGACACAAATGAAAGGTCCTAGCATAGAGTGTTGGTACTGATGTGGAGCAGACCAGATGCTGCTGGTGGAACCACATATTAGTAGAACCACTTTGGACGTGTGTGGAAGTGTGTACACACAACAGCACGCAAACATTACGTGAAGCAGCACTTTACAACGTGAGATGCGTCTGATACCTGTTCTGGATCTCTTCGTTTAAAAAATGCTTGTTCTGACCAAAGTTGTTTCATCACTTATTAATGGGCCACAATTCACATTTTGAGAACCATTACCCTTGAGAAGCTTAGCTTGTTCCAAAAGACTCATTGCGGCTGTACGTAGTAGCAAAGTACTGCAAGGACGCCGAATGTCCAGAAATGTTGAGTGCAAGAATAAATCTTGGTTTATTCTTAACATGAAATGCTATTTAGCAGCGAAAATTAATTAACAGGGACAAGCAACATAATCTTAAAGATCAGGGAGAAGTGGATATACTTAGATGTACCTGGTATGACTACATTTATGTAAAGTTCAGGAACTAATAACAGCTTCAGGATATAAACATGGTAAATATTTTAAAAAGGAAATGTGAATTCAGAAAAACGGCTACCTCTGAAGAGGAAAGGACAGGATGAGGGGCGCATGGGATATTTCAAAAGTAAAACTTTTGTTCTTTAAATAGGTGGTGAGTACCCACGTCTTCCTTTTTTGTTTTTTTTTTTTTTTAAGTGAAAGCAAGTTTATTTAGAGAGATACACGCTCCATGGACAGAGCAGGCTGTCTCCAAAGGCAAGAGAGAGCAAGCCTAGGTGTTCTTTATAACATGATTATCTTTTCTTACATATATAGTATCTACTTAATACAAAATATTCTTAAATTTAAAAAAAAAAAACTTAAGGAGCTGATAGCAGAAGTGTCAAACTGCTACCTGCAAGCAGCAAACATTCACAACCATGATCTGTTTGGCCTGCACGGTGGGAACAGGCAAGCAGCCCAATAGCAGCTGTACCTTTATGGAGGGCTGTGCTCTCAGGTTCATCCTTGGCCCTACCTACCCAGCATTGTAGTCACCTGCCTGGCCCTGGGAGGCACCTGAGTTTGCAACCACTAGTATAGAAAGAACTGGAAGGGGACAGGCCACATCTGCCCCAGCTCTGTCCACATTGTATGTGAGGAAACGAGCGAGGTGGAAGGCAGCTGGTGAGAGCCGGCGTATACACTTCCTCATTTTCCAGCAGATAGGACCAGGGGAAGGGTCTGGGCAAGGACATCCACCAAGTATCTCCTCCGTACTTTTCATGTGTCATTTTATGTCTTTTTATCTTTAACCCTGTTGAGTAGGTAATATTATCCCATCCCACAGATGAAAGAATTAAGGTGCCAAAAGACCAAGATGTTTTCACAAGGTGGCAGACAGGATTGGAGTATCTGAGTCCAGATCATTCTGACTTAAACCCCATGTTCTAAAGCCTCAGATCATTTAAAAATTCTGATTTCACTATCCTCCCTTGCCTTTACCAAAACTGCTAACTAGCAGCAGGTGAATGTTACCATCTTTCTCTAACTGCCTGCTATGGTTCACTCACTTCCTACGTACTTGTTGAAGACCTGCTGTGAGCTAGGCACTACGGGAGAAAAGAAACTGAGGACAGAAATGCTAATGAGTTGTGACTAAAGAAAGGCCAAGAATAAAGGCTAGGAATCTGACTCTACCATCTTCCTACCAATAAGTTAAAAATTAGGGAAGAGACTAATCTCTTAGGTATAGAACATCCATTGCCTTGCAATCTAAGACAGGTTCAGCAAAGCCCTATGTTTGGGAGTTCTTGATCCAAAATCTACTGACAAAGGAGTCCCATCTCACCCCTAAAAGTGCCTTCTTTAGTATCTGTCTCATAGCCAGTCAGGGGCAGGAACCAGTTCTTAGGAGGCATGGGCTAGGCCTGAGTGCAAATTCACAATGAAGTTCAAAGCGGCAGCTGGGCTCCTGCTTTGATTACACTCAGGAATTAAGAAGTGCATTTTCATGTCTGTCATACTCTGGTAGCACAAAAGTGCAATGTATTGTGCCTAGTTGGTTTAGAGATTTGACTTATATTCTACGTACTTGATCTTGAGTTGCACAGCAAATTCCCCATTCAGTCAGTTCCCTGACTGAACCCTTGGGTAGCTATAAACACCCGAATCACCCCAGGTGTCCAAACAAAAAAGGCAGGGCAATGTGTGGAACCTGACTGACTAACTCAACTTATCCAGACACAGCCCTCCAAGAATGGACATAAGAAACTCAGAATCAGTTTGGGCTGTAGGGTACTAGGTCAGATATCCAAAGGACTGGAAATATTCTTACATGAGGATAGTGTCCCCATGACTGAGAGATGCAAAACATGCCAGGGTTGTACCATTGGGGAAGTAAGAGAAATCTGAATGAGTTCCCTTGGTGTGTTGGTTTTTCTGCTAGCAGTTTCTCCATCTTTTACTCTTTGCAAAAGAAGTGGGCATATTCTAAACAAAGCTTCCTTTATTAAGTCTCCTCTCATTTTCGGAAAAACTCTTCAGTTTAGCAGCCAGGAATTAGGCAATATAATTAAAGCATCTGGATGCTATTCTGCAACCAGAAAACAAGGGATTATTTTTATTTAAAGTATGTATACTTCATTTAAAATATACATACTTTTCATTCACATGATGCAAATTTTAAAAGGCATAAAAATATGTAGAGGGAAAAATCTCCTACCCTGTCTCCCAACCAACCAGATACTCTCCAAATAAACTAATGTTACTACTTTATTTTGTATCTTTACAAATGCATCTTATACATATCCAAGCAAATGTGACTACATTTTCCCAACCTTTCACACAACTAATGGCAAAGTATACACACTGTTCACAACTTCATGGTACTGGATTGTATGACACTGGATTTGTAATGCCCTCCTGATGGGCATTAAACTTGTTTTCAATCCAACCTACAAACAACCTTACACACACATCATTTTACATTATACACAAACCACAGAGTTATCAAAATCACTGTTAAAGGATATCTGAAGTCATCATTTTGGTGAACTTTACCAAAATGCCTCCATTAAAACTTGTACCAATCCTACACTCAAAATATGTAAATCAGATAACTTAAGATCAGAGATACGATATAAAAAATGTTAACGCTGTGTAAAATTAGATTTCTACCTACTTGGCTATAAGTGTTGTTATCCCTGAAGAATCAAAGGCCCCACAGAGTAAAATAGTACAAACCCAATTGGTTTGGACATTCGCAAGAACTGAATCAAGGAACCTCATTAACTTCAGAGCCTCTGAGATAAGGGCGCCAAAATCAGTTAGTACAATTCTGAGTTGAACGCTCAGCATCAAGAGCTGTGAAAGTCAACAGAAGAGGAACGGAGGAGGTGAGGACTCTGGGGACGGGATCTCCCTCACAGCGTCCAGCTTCTGGGGACCGCAAATTCCTTCCACTCAACTGTCTCGGAGGGCAAGAAGCAGAGGAGAACCACCCAAGGATGATGGCAGGCCCGATTGTGATGCAGAGAATGCTGAGGTGCGTGGTCGCGCGGCTCAGAGGGGTCTCACCACAGCGATGGTCGGCCCGAAGAGGACACTGTGGACAATGGACGTGAAGAAATTGGAAGCCTCCGTAGGTTTTCTTGATGTGAGAGGGTTCCTGGATACCTGTCAGGTAAAACACTCGCTGCCGTCAGCTCCTTAGCTTACAAATCTCTGGAATTTTCTCAGTCCGCCGCGCCTCGCCACCCCAGGAAGCATCCTCTCGGCCAGTCAGGGCTGCGGGCTGCAGGAGGGCACTCGCGCCGGACGCCCTGCGCGTCCCCTCATCCCGGCTTCCTCCAAGTTCGCGCAGGCCGGCTCCGCGCATCCGCGGGTCACGTGCGCGGCCGGCTCAGCTGACGCGACTGGGCGGGCGTGACGTCATCACAGCGCGCGGCCGCCGGGACGCCGCGGGAGCCTACGGGTCGGGGCGGCGGCGGCGCTTGGGCTCCTACTGAGCCGGCCGCTAGCCCCGCGCCCACCCCACGGGCCGGAGTGCAGGTGAGTGGCCAGGAGGAGGCGGCCGGCGCCCTTCCCTCCCGCCTCCCCTACCGTGGTCCCCTCCGAGCGGAGAGGGGTCTGCTGGCGTCGAGCGCCCCCGCCCTCCACCTGGAGGCTCTTCTCCCGCCGAGTAGGCGGCCCTTCCAGAAGCCGAGCCCTGCCCGCGGCTTCCGCGGCGCAGCCCCTCTACTCGGGTGCTCGCTGGCTCGCGGGAGCCCCAGATAAGTCATCTCGGGAGCGGAGGGCGGAGGGCGGAGGCCGGGTCCCCCAGGAGATGGGGTGTGACAGTGAGACAGGCCCAGCCCTGTCGAAACCCACCCCCACGAAAGTCTTCGCGGTAAATGGGGGGCTTCTGTTCAGACCTTTCCCGTGTCTCCAGAGTTGAAACTGAGTTGACTTAAGAAAAGTCTTTTTGAAAATCATCTTATGCTTGGATGAATCACGTCCTTTTCTGTAAAATGGATCTTGCAGAGTTATGGGAGGGATTATCTAGAGTGCTTATATAATAATATGCTAATTATAAACAGGAGTAGATGAGAATTTAGGATCTCGTTTTTACTATTCATATGAAATTATTATTGTGAGTTGTGGACTGTTGAAAACCATAGTTTTCTTTCCCCCCTTGGATCAGTTCAGAAGGTTTTGGATTCCACATAAGATAGGCTTTTAATAACCACCTAGTTTCATTCCCCAGAAATTGCTCTTGAAGCAAACAAACAAAAAAATAGTGTGACTAAAAACCTGCAAACAATGAAAAAAGTACTTGTAACATTAATTTCTTTTTTATATGTAACCCATTACTGAGTTCCTTTAATGCATACACGTGACAGGCTGTGGCAGTAAAATTAGTAGTGGAGTTTTGTTAGGTTTCTATCCTAGTTAGTCTCTTTCAGTGTAGAAGAATTACTACAAATATTGATTTGTTAATGGACATTTACTAATAATGTAGAGTAGAAAGAGCCTTCTATAGGACAGCCTCAATAGTTTAAGTGAAAGTCCATAGATAAGCTTGCATGGTTTCCATTTTTCAGTATAGGTATTGGACCCTATTTTCAAGTTTTATTTTAAGGAGAAATCCAGATGTATTTGGAAATCATCATAAATATTTGCATGCTTCTTTAGAAAACAGTTTATTTTCACTCATACTAGCTTTTATTGCTCTAGGTTGAATACACAATTTTTCTTTTCTTGCATTGTACTACTAAGCATTTATTGTGTACTTGCTAGGTGAGAAAAATATATAAAACAGGGTCCCCACCATCTAAATATTTACCTACTTCACCTTAAGGGTATTAAAAATAGTGATGTCACACCTCTAAGAAATTTTATCTTTCCATTTTATCATGTGAGACAACAGCCTTGTGAAGATATGCAGGAAATGTTTCTTTCGCTTATAATGCCATTGAGCATTGATTATAATAAATGTCAAGTGGTTGAGTCACGGGATTACAATGGAATTCAGAGGAAGAAGAGATTGTTTTCACTTGGGCTGGTGAGTGGCTAGATTGTGTCGGTGATGCCAGGAATAGTAATGCTCCCTACTTTTGGACGTGTGGATCTGATGGAGCCTCCTTAACTTGTGAAGCTAACAGAACGTAGTTTCCCCAGTCCTTCATACACACATTGTTTTTTTCCCTCTTGTAGTTGCAGAATCCAAGGACCCCTTTCATCCTTTCTCCATACTGCTTGGTAGGAGGCATTATGGCCCCCAAAGACATAATGACAAATACTCATGCTAAATCCATCCTCAATTCAATGAACTCCCTCAGGAAGAGCAACACCCTGTGTGATGTGACGCTGAGAGTAGAACAGAAAGACTTCCCTGCCCATCGGATCGTGCTGGCTGCCTGTAGCGATTACTTCTGCGCCATGTTCACTAGTGAGGTGAGTGGTGACTTATCTTCTCACAAGTGGAACTCACACTGAATGAAATGGTAGAAGTTTGATATGATGGTGAATATCTGTATTATGGTGGTTAGATAGGCAGACTCTGGATAAGATCTGCCACTTGACTGAGCTTTCATTTCCTCATGTCTAAATTAGAGATTCTACACTTATTGTGACAATTACTTGAGAAGATTGCACTAGACATGCTTAGAAAATTGTCTAGCATATAATAAAACACAAATATCAGCTATTGGATTTTACGTATTGTTTTTTAAATTTGCTTTCCTGTTTTTCTTCTAAAGTTTAATGTTTTAAAGTGAATATCAGGAAATAGGGAGGAGGGAAGGATAGAGGAGTAAGATTCAGTCTTCATCCCATTCTTTACAACAATATGTGAAGAAAATCAGTATTCATTCTACCAATGTAGATTTTAGAGTAATTGCAAATCGGGTACATGAACTATAACTTGGGAAAACATACTGACTCTGGAGCATAAGCCCTTAAAGGGACTTAGAAGCAGGTTGGCTTGGCAAGAAAAATGTAGTGCTGACAAAATATTAAGAAAGACTGCCTAGGGATGCGGTGTATAGCTCAGTGGTAGAGCACATGCCTAGCATGCGTGAGGTCCTGGGTTCAATCACCAATACCTCCATTAAGAAAAAGTAGCAATTAACAAATTAAATAAATAAACCTAATTACCTCCCCCCTTCCCCCGCCCCAAAAAAAAAAAAAAGACTGCCTTAGTGATTGCCTGGCAAGACACCTAAGATGTGGAAGAGGCTGTTGAGTGACTTGTGAGAGACTCTTAGAGAGCTGAGCAGAGGAGAGCCCTGCAACTCTCATTTTCCAAGATCTCAAGTTTGATTTTTAAATTTTAAATAAATTATCTTGATTTCTTTTTAAGCTTCAATGGTGAGAACACCAGTGTTTATATCATTTATCTCTACTTAGACATAAACCCGAAATAGTTCATCATGATAAAACTTTCTAAAAACCTTTACCTGGGGTGGGAGGGTATAGTTTAAGTGGTAGAGTGCATGCTTAGCATGCACAAAGTCCTGGGTTCAATCCCTAGTACCTCCTCTAAAAACAAATAAAGTAAGTAAACCTAACTACCTCCCCACTACAAAAAAAAAAAATCCTTTACCCACTGGTGTTTTCTCAGTGCAGACGTTGCAGGTGATCTGAGTGGGAGAGAGAGTATCATGGTAGTGACAGTGGCTGCCTTTTGTGGGCCAGATGCTGTGTTAGGTGATTGTCGAGTCCTGGTCACCCCACGGCAGATGTTACAGTCTCATCGTACAAACGGAGACAGAAGCTCTCAGATGCTAATGCCTAACTGCTTGTAAATGGTGGAGGGGATTCAACCCTAAGTTTTCTGACCCTGAAGCCTGGAAGGCTGTTAACTGCTGTGCCTCCTCTGCCTCTGAAATATGGACTCTTATACTTCAGTTTAAGTTAGTTTCATTCTGATTTTTACGTTCAGTTGATAAAGCCAGAGTCGTGAGTGAGTGCTCAGTCACGTGGCTGCGAGGAGTAACGTGGAAGCTTGGCAGGTCCTCCCTGCGGACTGAGGCTAATTTTACAGTGACCCTGTGCAGAGCAGCGTTTCAGGCCCTGTGCTGTGCTGTCCTGGCTCCCGCGAGGTCGGCCCAGAGCATCTGAAGTGCTAGTGTTTAACTGGGCGAGGACAGTGTCACACAGCTGCCAGCAGGAGGCACTGAGCACTCCACCGCTGACTCTGATTACACACTGTGCACCTGTCTTCACTCTTCCTCTGCACATGCAGGAATTAGCGTGGGCTTCTGTGAAAGAATTTGCTTTCATTTTTCTTCTCATCAGTGACTATTTTATAGTCTTTTTTAAAAAAACTGACATCAGGCAAGAAAATGCCAGATGGTTTTGCATTTTTTGGGGGGGGTTATAATTGACCTTCACACAGTGTTAGTTTGGAGGAGTACAACATAGTAATTCGGTATTTCTATACAGTATAAAATGGTCACCACAATAAACCTCGTTACCACCTGCCACTATTCAGAATTACTACAATATTATTTATTTTTTCTTAATTGAAGTCTAGTTGATTTGCAGTGTTGTGTTCAGGTGTACAGGGTGTTGTGACTCATTTATTTTGTAATGGGAAGTTTGTACCTATTAAGCTCCCTCCTCTGTTTCATTCATCCACCCCCTTGAATCTTGGGGTGTTCTTTGGTTTTCTTCATTTTCCTTGTATCTCTGACTTGCATTTAGGAGTCACAGTTATTACTGTGGTCTCTCAGGGCTGGGTTGGTTTTTATGTGAGCATGTACCCGTGTAGACTGTGTGTTTGTCTAATATTTTGTCGCAAGGGTTGTTTGTAGTGTGGATGGTACCTCCTCTTTCTTCCACACGTGCTGGCTTTCCTCCCCTTGATAGGGTGTGACTGGTGTTGTGGTGACCAGAGCCTTCCCTCGTTGTTGTGCAGGGCCTCATCTTTGCTTTGTGGTTGTCACAGCCCTACTGGGAGCCAGATCTACTCCCCTGTGGTTGGAGCAGAGGCCCCCAAACCCATTTCTGAGCTGCGGTGTGTGGTAGGTGGGATTGGAGCTCTTCTGCTGGAAGAGGAGCTGCTGAGTATTCCTCCACAGGAGATGTCCACCAGGAAGTGCCCTCTGTGTTGTTGTCTGTCACTTGTTACGTGGGCTCACAAGGTACACTTTGTTGACACTGCCCTTGTCCCCGCCTCAGCCATGGGAATATTAACAGCCCCCTCTTGTGTCCCCCAGATTCTGTGCCCACAGAGCCACCAATGCAGATCCGCCAGCTTTAGGTGCTAGGACCCACCATAGTGCGCATGCAGTCAGGCACCCAGATCCACCACGAACCACAGGGTCAGCCCAGACCCCAGCCCCAAGTCCCCAAACTCTGGCTGCTACTAACAGCAGACCCACCCCACGCCAGCAGTCTGTTAGGTTGTCTCAGGCACAGGTTCAGAAAGACCCCGGCAGCACAAATCTGCCACCACCTCCTGGGGCTCAAAACAGATCCTTAGGGTTTTTGTTTTTAATTGAAGTATAGCTGATTTACAATGTTGTATTAGTTTCAATTACACAGCAAGGTGACTCAGTTTTATATCTATATATACGTTCTCGTTCAGATTCTTTCCCATTATAGGTTTTTACAAGATACTGAATATAGTTCCTTGTGCTATACAGTTGGACCTTGTTTATCTGTTTTGTGTATAGTAGTTTATATCTGTTAATCCCCAACTCCTAATTTATCCCTCCCCGCCCTTTCCCCTTTGGTAACCATAAGTTTGTTTTCTATGTCTGTGAGTCTGTCTGTTTTGTAAATGAGTTCATTTATATCCTTGTTTTACATCCCACTTATAAGTGATATCATATGGTATTTTTCTTTCTCTTTCTGATTTACTTCACTTAGTATGATGATCTCTAGGTCCCTCCATGTCGCTGCAAATGGCATTATTTCATTCTTTTTATGGCTGAGTATTCCATTGTGTATATATACCACAACTTCCTTATCCAGTTATCTGTCCATGAACATTTAGGTTGTTTCCATCTCTTGGCTGTTGTAAATAGTGCTGCTGTGAACATTGGCGTGCTTGTGTCTTTCCGAATTAGAGTTTTTGCTGGATATATGGCCAGGAGTGGGATTGCTGGATCATATGGTAACGCTATTGTTAGTTTTTTAAGGAACCTCCATACTGTTCTCCATACCCTTGAGTTTATTTTTAAGATTATTGGGTTTAAAGGAGAGGGTCTAGTGACCTGGATTTTTAGGTTCGGTCCCTTAGCAACTCTCTGTGAACCCTGGCGACCATCTACCTTCACCGGATTGCCTGCAGAACAGAGTGGTTGAACTCAGTGGTCTCGTCTTTCTCTTCCAGCCCTGAGCTGCTCCTCAGGTGGTTGCAGCTAAAAGAGCTCAGGCTGAGGCGGGAGGGCCTAGGTTCTGTCTGTCTCTTCTAGTTGAGACCTTGGTTAAGTCTCGCAACTTCTTTGAACCTTAGGTCTTTTATGTATTAAATGGCAGTAATGTCAGACCTAACTGCCTTACCAGCTTGCTGTGAGAATCAGATAGATGAAATAATAGTAAGTGAGAGGCACTCTGAAAAATTGTAAAGCAAATATAAATGTGAGTGAAATACTACAATTGCTCTAGGTTATTAGATAGTGAACTCATTTCCATATTTAAGCTATTTGTCTAATGGGAGTATAGTTTATTCAATACAAAACTCCTGAAATAAATGTACTTACGTATTTCTGTTTGTGAATACTTACACTGGTTTAAATTTTGGTAAAATGTTTCTCTGAAGTAAGGACAGATAGACAGCTTGTGTGTAGTCTAAGGACAGAGGACAGTGCTGGCTAGTCCTGGGGGGTCTGGAGCTGGGTCCAGCGGGGCTCTCTGTAAGCATGAAATCTCAGTGAATTTTGTATTTCATCTTAAAAGCTCACAGACACTAGTGGCATGCTCATGGAACTTTTGGTTCTATTCCATGTTACATGTGTATTTGTTTTAATATGAAAATAGCATTTTAAATTATTCACAGGTAAAATTGATGTTCCAGGAAGGTGTCACCTCTGTATGCTCTTGGGTCACATGTAGCCCCTCCACTGGAAAAGCTGGAAATACATGCCGTGCTTCCTTTGTACAAATCAAACAAAATAGACGGTAATTTTTTTTTAAGATGTGTATTCAGTTAATATTGTTGACATCCATTCAAGCTCCTGGATATGAGATTCTGCCTCTATCTTGTGGGATGATAACCACCGGAGTGACTTCATACCCTTTGAACTTTCAGCTTTCAGAGAAGGGGAAACCGTACGTTGATATCCAGGGTTTAACTGCCTCTACCATGGAAATCCTGTTGGACTTTGTGTACACAGAAACCGTGCACGTGACAGTAGAGAACGTCCAAGAACTGCTCCCTGCAGCCTGCCTGCTGCAGCTGAAAGGTACAGATGCTAAAGGTGCTCTTGTTCATGCCAAGGTAGCCCTGGAGATGTTTAAAATTCAAGATGTAAACTTAATCATCAACACTAAGGAGACAGACTACAGGCCTGAGGTTCACTGTTCATGGCACAGAAGATCAGATTTCAGTTGCAGTATAGAGCAGCCTCTCCAAATGTGTTTGGCTCTTTAGAAGAGAGCATGTACTGTCTGTTTTTTAAAAAATGGAAAAGGGGATGATAGATGTACTGTCTTACGTATATGTACGTAAGAGTCCTGTGAGGACACTGGAAACTGAGATGGTTCATTGCCTCCGTGGAAGGGAACTAAATGGCCACGTATATAGGGAGGGGAGGCAAACTATTCACGTAAAGCCCTCTATGCCTTTAATCTTTGGAGCCATATAAATTGTCTATGAAAAGTTTATTGACACACAATAATGAAAGTGTAACATTTTCACAGGATTCGAGATGGTCCCCCTTCCAGTTCGTAGTCTGTCTTTCTTAACCTCTGTTCTGTTTCTGTCATTTTCAGTTTTTAATGTATGATTGAAACAGTGGGACACTTTTGCATTAGTGCACAGCTGCAAAATTAAGCTTACAGTCTGAGCATTTCAGTTAGAGAAATATGAGGTTGTCATTAGTACTTTGTATTTTTCCTTCGCTGGAGTCTTTTAGTAAGTTTCTGTGTGGACTGGAAATTATACTGTGCTGAATTACAGTTGGTTTTATAGCTTGATTCCCAAGAGTTTTATAGGCATTTTTTGTTTAACTTTGGAGGTGTCCTTGAAGCATTTCGTCCTGCTGTACTTGTCTTAATGCTGCAGCGGGCATCTGTGAAGGCAGTGCTGAAGGCCACACAGCACATGAGACAGAAGTAAGGTTTGAATTCTCTAAGCATAAATCTTCTAACGTGATTCCTAGGTGTGGAGCCAGGACTCCTCTGATACTGTATGGACATGCTGTGATCCACGAATACAGACCCATCCCCCTGGCCGAGAACCTCAGGGACTTACTGTCTGTCTGCCCTAGGTGTGAAGCAAGCCTGCTGTGAATTCTTGGAAAGCCAGCTGGACCCTTCCAACTGCCTGGGTATCAGGGACTTTGCTGAAACTCACAACTGTGTTGACCTGATGCAAGCAGCTGAGGTGTTTAGCCAGAAGCATTTTCCTGAAGTGGTGCAGCATGAAGAGTTCATTCTTCTAAGTCAAGGGGAGGTGGAGAAGCTGATCAAGTGTGATGAAATTCAGGTACAGACTGGCTGGAATTATGCTTCCTTCAAGGCTGGACCATAGAACCAAAAAGCAGGGTGGAGTTACTGTGCTTCTGTAGCACGGCTTTTCAGTCACGTGTCCTCAGTCACGTGGCTCTGAGGGTTCATTAAATGCCCCTGAAATTATATGCCAGATGTGTTCGCATATTTGTGGGAGGGAGTTTGCCACCTTCACCAATAAAACCTGTGATCCCAGTGGTTAAGAATCACTGTTAAACAGTTTGGAATAAGCAGAAATTGGAAGTAAAACACTTCTCTACTACTCATTCACTCATCTTTAAACATTTACTGAGAAAATCCAGTAGTTAGCAGTCACTATGCCAGGTGCTGGGGACCCAGGCATGAGAAAGATAGTCTTGTTTTCAGAGAATTCACAGTGCAGTGGTACAGACAAAAAGACAAAAATTATAATAAAGTGTCATGAGAGTAATGAGCCCGTTCAGAGTGAGGAATTTACATAGAAGAGAGAAAAGTAAACCTGTGGGTTTAAGTGAGATCAAGAAGAAAGTGGATCAAAGAGGATGGGACAGAAAGTTGGGGACAGTAAGCAGGAGACAGATGGTCAGTGCCTCCTGGGAGTCAAGGGCCTTGCAGGCTGGATGTTAAAGCAGTCATGTCCCACCTGCCTGTGCCCAGGCAGGCGCTCAGTGACCTCTCCCAGCAAGGGGAATCTTAGTGTCAGCAGGTCGGCAGAGTTGCGGTTGCATCTAGGTCTGTCATGAGGCTAAGAACAGGAGTGAGTCCCGCAGGGTGGAGGTGTCTGCAGCCAGGGTCCAGCGCTCTAGTTGTTGTGCCCGCAGAGCCAGGTGCTGGGGTGAGAGCCCACCTGCTGGGCTTCGTTTCCCCAGGGAGGAGGCATCCAGTTCTCTAGGAAGACTGAGAGTTCATTTTTTCTCCTCTCACTCTCCTCAGATAATAATGAAAAATGACTTTAAATTAGTGGATTCCCAGAAGTTAGTGGCATCTCAGTTTAAACAAAAGATATGTTGGAAGGAATCAAAGTTTGATTAATGTTCTAAGTGCCACAGAATGAATTTGGTACTTAAAGAAATTCTGTAATATACTTTTGTAAACAAATGATTACTCCCTGATTTATTTTGCTATATCTAGGATTTCCATGTAATAACAAGTCTTAAATATATTTCTTACCAATGTTTAGCCAACTTCTTCTTGACGCCTTTCCTTAGTGAGTTTTCTGAGGAAAGTTGATTGGGGGCGTGTTGGTGCCCTTGTTTCCGACAAGAGGGATGATTTGCAGTCTGACGTGTGGTTTCACATCAGCCCAGAGACACTGCTCTTGCAAGTCTACAGAGTCAAGTATTTGCTGAAGCTCTGTTCTCACCCTCACAGAGCGAGGGCTATGTTCTTGCACAGAATGCCAGATACAGCAGGTAGAATGAGCTCTGCAGACGTGAAGTTCATCACACAGGGTCATAAAAGAACTAACTATTGGTTTATTTATCAAATATTTATTGAGTACTTACTCTGTGCTCAGAACAGTTCCAGGTGCTGGGGATGCAGTTTTGGATAAATCAGACAACAATCCCTGTATCATGCAGTTTCCATCCTCATGGTACTATTCCTGGCATTTTTTAACTTATTTAATTCTCAGAACCCTCTTCATTTTTCACAGGAGGAAACGGATGCTACGAGGTTGGTTATCACACCACAGTAGGAGGTGGTAGAGCCAGGACTCACATCTAGAGTCTGTCTTTTAAACGCAAAACTGAGATGGCCACCTCGCCAGCTTGTTTCTGTTTGACCAAATCAGGAAGCAATCATAGCAGCCATTTCTTTTAGAGCTGTGTAGGTTTGGGGATAAAACTGTCTGGAACAGGGAGGGCAAATAACCTATTCGGAAGCTGAGCTGAACTCTTGTATAGTCTTCCATAAGTGTCTGGCAAGACAGGCCTTTGTTCGTTTGTTTTTCAGCAAATGACATTTTTTTTCTCTTTCATATACCAGCTGGAAAGAGGAACCAGATGTCTGGCTCCCATTGCTAACTAACACTTTTTCTGAATTATATAAAACAATGTCTTCAGTAAGGTCGAGTATCTCTGCTCATGATCAAAAACCCCATTTTAAATGGATGTATCTAATTTAAACCTAGAATGTGTCAGGGTCTAGCATGCAGCTGTTTAAAACTATTAGCCTGTTGTCCTTGTCTTTAACAAAAGTTTATTTAAAAAATCAGGCACCCTTCTGCACCCTCTCCTGCATCTCAGCCCGCTGTGGGCTGGGTTAGTCTGACCTCCCGTGAATTTGGTACACAAGTTTCTGCACCACTGCCATCGTCTAAGCAGCATCACCTTTTGCCTGTACGTGGGCTCCCATCTCTCAGCCCATCTGAGCTATTCTACTGTGGTTATCAGAGCCGTCTTCACACAACATCGATGTGATCATGTCAGGCCTACTTGAAACCTTATTAAGGTTTCCACCTCCTCTTAGAGTGAACTCCAGTCTCCTAATGCTCCGTGTGCTTCTCTGGCTTGAGCTTTTTCATCCCCTCATTCATTCTACCACACCAGGTCAGTCCCTAAGCTGTCCACTAGGACGTTCTGTGAAGATGGGAAAGTTCTGGATCTGTGCTGTCCAGTTCACTAGCCAGTAGCCGTGTGTTGCCGTTTCAGCACTTGAAATTTGGCCAGTGTGACTAAGAAGCTGAGTTTTTAATTTAACTTAATTTTAAGTAATGTAAGCAGCCACACATGGCTAGTGGCTGTTGTGTTGGACAGCCCACTTGTAGGGCTTTCGCGTGTGCTTTCTGTCTGCCCTGGAGTACTCTGTCCTCCTCCGTGGCTCACCACTGTGCATACATCAGATTTAAATCTATCGCTTCTGCAGGGAGGCCTTCCCTGGCCCATCAGTCTAAGTAAAGAAATGTTGTGTTACTCTGTCCCATAGCCCCTCTACTTTTCCTGTGTAGTATATAATGACAAAACAAGATTGTTGGTTTTTCTGATTTAACAGTTATCTCCACACTTAAGAGGAAAGTTTGTGTCTGATTTGTAGACCATTGTATAATTAGCCTCCACCACAATTCCTGGCACTTAGTAGGTGTTTGGTAAATCGATCAAATGGATGAACATTCCGAAATGTTTTCTATATTTTCAGTTCTTGGGAGAAGTCCACAGAATGGTTTCTTTGTCTGGGCACTCTGGACAGATGCACCCTGTGGACTGGTGGAAGGCACACAGGCCTATTCTTAAGGTGTCAGTCTCGGGGAGGCCCTGGGTGTTACTGTACCTGGTGCTCTTCCAGGGTGAGATGTAGGTTTTTAGGGTGTGTCTTCACGTATCTAGTCTGCCATACATAGCTTAGACCTAAGTTCCCCGGGTGATTAATTGCACATATCATCTCAAAGAGCATGGCACCTCATACAGAGTAGGCCCCCAACTGCTAATTGACAAGGTTTGAGGACTGTCACGCTCCACATAGTGACGTAAGAGAAGCTCCTGCTTCACCGAGGAGCCAGCCTGGAGGTCGTGAGACAACGCCTTTGAGTAAAAGTTATTTTAGGAGCCAGTTTTGAATAGGGCAAGAGACTCTCCCTGCCCCTGCCAAAGTTTCAGGAATGACCAGAAAACAACTCGGGAATGGGGAAAATTCTGAATTAAAAGCGGATTTGTGACTAATGGCCTATTAGGTACTCTCTTAGATGTTTTTTTACCTAGTTTGACTGTAACTGTCTTCATGATCTTAGCAAATTGTGTCTGAAAAGATTGTTTTCTCAAGAACCTAGCTATTTCTGGAAGATGGGGAAATAAAGGCAGGGGCTAGGGCAGGAAGGAGAAAGTAAGCGTGGTTACTTTTTGAGACTGAGAGACAGTTGGACGAACTGAGACCCATGATGTAGTTAAACGCCCACAGGTGGATTCTGAAGAGCCGGTCTTCGAGGCTGTCATCAACTGGGTGAAGCACGCCAAGAAGGAGCGCGAGGAGTCGTTGCCAGACCTGCTGCAGTATGTCCGCATGCCCCTCCTGACCCCCAGGTACATCACCGACGTCATAGATGCCGAGGTGAGTCTCCCAAGATGCACTGGTTCCAAACCCCCGGACGTCTCTTCATGTTGTGTACCCAGAATCAGCTCTCCTAACACAGGGCCCGCGTGCCCAGCGAGCCTCCCCAGGTGTGCCAGGGAGTCTGGCGGCAGTGGCTTGGTTGGCAAGTCAGCCTCCTGGCAGAAATGAAAGTCTATGGTTTAATTTAATTTTGTGTTTTTGTTGTCTTTTTGTTTTACTTGCCCCTCAGTGTTTTGCATAAGCAATGTCAGATGAGAGATTGTGTCCCCTTCTCCATTAAACACAGATTGTTCCAAATTATCCTGAAAAAGATGCTTTGCTTATTCAGTCTCTTTATTTTTGACCTCTGATCAGACCAACATGAAAGTGGTTTGATGCATTTTAATATCAACTTGGGTCATGTGTTTATTTACAAGTGTTTCTCCAACCTAAGTTCTCAGTGGTACGTTTTCCTGACTCACAGTGTGCATAACTTGGACGGTACCCTGGGGGAAGGACACTGATTTATAACATGCAGATAAGGCCCAGGGCAGCAAATGTGTTCCCACTTCTGGCCCAGCCCCAGATCTCTTTGGAAGTTAATTACAAACACAGTTTTTCAGTTATTCACATTTTAAAAGTTGTAGGCTGGTTGGTGTCACATCTCCGACTCTTTCTCCTCTTTGTAATTTCTTCCTTCAGTCCATCCATGTGCCCCTCATGTCTGTTTCTTTACATGATGGCTAGAAGCCCAGACTGTGGACCAGATTCAGCACTTTCCTTGCAGTGAGGGACCCTGACCTCACTCTCTTCTCTGGGGGGCTCCTGCTGGGGCTCCTCAGTGGTTGAGCCCAACCAGGAGTCAGTGTGGACGCCCCCAATACAGGTCCTTTAGGTCTGTCTTCTGAGCCAGGGAGCAGGGTGGAGACAGTGCCAGGTGACCCTGGGGTGGCAGCTGGGAGACGGGCCCTGTGACAGTGCTGCGGACCTTGGGGATGTCGTTTCAGACAAGACCAGCTTCTTCCTTTCATCCCAAAAATGCCCAAAGCCTTTTGGTTTTCCCTTACAAGTTGTACTGGTTATGATGTCCTTGTGTTTGCCTAATCACTGGAAGTATGTACAAACAAACTGATAAAAGTAGTTACCTTTAAGTGTGAAGGTGGATGAGACATGCATCTAGGTATATCTTTTTATATCATTTAATTTTTGAACCACAGAATGTCCATTAAAAAAAATTTTTTAATCATTTCTGGAAACTCACAGCATAATTATTACCAGCAGTGCTCCTGGAAATGCAGGGCTTCGGAAACTGGTTTTCTGTATCGAGAGTTCATTTCTTTATAGGTGCCATTGATGCTCTTGTTAGAGGTGGCCCCCGTGGCTCACTCTCCTCTCTGCTGTGTTTCAGCCTTTCATCCGCTGCAGTTTACAGTGCAGGGACCTTGTGGATGAAGCAAAGAAGTTTCATCTGAGGCCTGAACTGCGCAGTCAGATGCAGGGTCCCAGGACAAGGGCCCGTCTAGGTGAGCTGGTGTCATGGCGGAATGAGGGGTGCTTTTCAACTATCCCTGGCAGGCAGCATGATATACCTGAAAAGAACGTTCTGTAAGAATCAGACCTCATTTCAGACCTTTCTCTTTTTTTTTTTTTTTTTTGAATAATGGTAGGTTTATTTAGAGAAATACATACTGCATAGAGTGTAGGCTGCTACAAAAGGCAATGAAAAGGTCACAAGATGTGGGGGTTCAGACCTGTTTTTAATCTTTTATTAGTTGTGACATCTTGAACAAATGTCTTTACCACCCTGAGCTTTCTTTCCTGTAAACCAGGAATATCTTCCCTATTTCACATGATGATTTGGAGGAGTAAATGAGATAAAGTGTGTGACAGCACTTCATCAGTTGTTAAGCATTATGCAGTATAAGCTATAATTCTGTTTCAGCACATTTGGAGTCTGTGAGCTGGGAATCATCTCAGATCCACGCAGTAAGGGGTGTGCTCCCCCGCCACCTCCCATCTGCACACTGAGAGAGGAGAGGCAGGGCGAGTGGCAGTGCTGTGCAGGGCAGAGGAGTTCCGAAGAATGGACGCACAGAATTTGGGTGGTGGCGGGACTCCGGAGCCAGGCTGTGGGGCAGATCCCTGCTGCTGTACTGGGCATGTTAGCTTCGGCAGGAAGTTTAACCGCCCTGTGTTTCAGTTGACTCATCTGTAAACTGGGGGTCACCATAGCTCCTGCCTTGAGGTTGTTGTGAAGAGCAGATGAAAAAGTTACGTGAAAGGCTTAGAACAGTTCTGGGCACATCATAAGTGCTATGTACGTTGGCTGTCATTTCAGCAGACAGCTGGGTTCACATCCCATCCAGCCAGGGATGGTGTGAGGGAGCCGATGCTCCTGCCTCTGAAGCAAGGGCCCTTGCCGTGAGGCATTGACATCTCTCTGACCACAGTCAGTACTCAGATGTCACTTAAATGCACTTCCGTTTCCCATCCTCACAGTTTTACTGTCCCCGGAGCCCAGGTACTGTGTGTAAAAGCATGTTGTGGGTTATAAATTACTCTGTATATGTGGGCCAGTATTTTGTTTTCATTGTTTCCTATTTTTGCTCTTCTCTGACTGTGGACTCGTGCGTGCTGAGGTGTTAATTGATAATTAAGTTTTTCATTGATCAGTTTAAGTAGAATGATGATTTAATCCCTTATATTTTTAGTGGCATAGTTACTATATGTCAGTGTAGAAATTTTAGAAATTCAGAGAAGCAAAAAATAATCATCCATAATCCCACCACCCAGAGATGCTGGTTTTTGTTATAGTTGTTGTCAAAGGGCTGCTGTTCTGTTAGTTCCTTAGGGTGACCAAGTGCGATCTGTATCTCGTGTCACATGCAGAGATAGAATTGACACAAGACAGGGTGAAGGACAAACTGAAAAATCATGAAAGTAGTGGGGAAATTATAGGAAAATACTTGTATAACTTCTGAAACTTTTTTTTTCTATTTTTAATTGTGGTAAAATATATATAGCATAAAATTTATCATCTTAACCATTCTATATTCACATTGTTGTACAATCGCTAGAACTCTTCATCTTTTAAAACTGAAATTCTGTATCTGTTAGGCAACAACCTCCATTCCCTCTACTCCCCTGGGTAGGAACCATTTTAATTAGTACAGAAAAAACTAGAAGCCTTCAAGGTTACTTGACTGCATCAGTTTTTGTTTTTTGTTTTTTTCTAATTGATGGGAAAAGACAAAGTTAAAAGACAAGGGCTGGGAGAAAATATACACAATATGTATGACAAAAGGTTAATATTTCTAGTATAAAAAGAACCCGTAAGTATCAAGAAGAAGAAGAGCAGGAACCCCGTGGAAGACGGGTGTGAGAGATGTCGGGCAGCACACAGAGGAGCACGAGCACAGGAGCAGCACACACTGAAGAGTTTGCTCCACTGGCAGGTCTGGAATCGCAGAGTTTAAAATGCTACCCTGTGTGCCCCACCTCTGGGCACCAGGGCTATAGAGAGTGTATCAGTGTAGGAGTAACATGTGTAAGTACAGATAATTGCTAATAATCCAGAAAAGAAGGGATATAACCTGAATTGCAAATGGAGGGGAATGATTGTTGACTGGACTGTAGCCCAGCCGTACCGTGGAATGCTGTGAAACTGTGAAAGGCATTGAGCCATAATGTACATGAGATCAACTGTGTGCACACTTAGTGAGGGAAAAGAAACCGGTTTTATTGGAAAGAAAAAAAGAAAGGCAAAAACTCCTATATATGTGTGTTTCCTGAGCATAAACAAAGGCTGTGTATGCAGGATGAACACTAAACCTTAAACAAAATGGGATTGCAGGAGAATATTAACTACTGATACTTTGTTTATATACCTCTCTGTTATTACCATAGCTTGTGGTTACATCTGTTACTTAAAAAATGATAACAAACATACATATTCTTTAAATACCAGTGATGCAGTGGGAAGAATCTGGTGCTAGGAGGTCAGACGCTTTGCTCACTTGGATTTCTACTCCCAGCTCTGTCGCTTACTCTAGTAACTTGCTTTCTGAACTTGGACAAGTCCTTTAGCTTCTCTAGATTACCATTTCCTCTTCTGCATGTCAAAGGAGTTAAATTCAGTCACTAAGATTCTTTCCAATACAGAAGATATGTTTCTTTTTTGTAGAGCCAAAGGGGCCCCAGAGAGTACATGATGGCTTCATCAGGTTGCTTGTTAATTGTACAAAAGCCAATGAAAATTTGTGTGAACTGGCAATTCTAGAACGTTCTCTGGAGTACGTTTCGTGCATTCCTATATAGGAAGCAGAAGGCTCCTACTTGCTCCGAGAACTTGCTTATTGTCCTGACCTTGAGGGATTAGAAACTGATTCTACATGCCCTCATAGTTTTGAGGTTATCTTTTCAAAAATTTTAGAGAGGAAAATAATGAAGCTATTCCCAACCAAATTTTTTTTTTAAATTTTTGCCAAGTACTTTTTTTTTTAAGCAGAGGTGCTGGGGATTGAAACCCAGGACTCCGTGCATGCTAAGCATGTGCTCTACCACTGAGCTACACCCTCCCCCCCACCCCAGTTTGGTTCTTAATTTAGCATCTCCTTGTTAGTGCCTCAGAAATAAATTGTTCCAACCACCATGTCCTCTGCTCAGCTCTATTTATAGGGGTAACTGTGGTACTTGGTAACTGTGGTACTGCTAAACCAGTTTCCAAGATGATGACTCTTCTGCATACAGCATGAGGAAATTAAATATGCAGCTAAGTAAAAACAGCATGCCAAATAACGTGTGGGCATTGTGTTTTAATTATTAATCTTACCCATTACTCTCTCACAAAAGACGTCATAGGAATTGCAGTTTCTCTGCCTCTTTTTCTGGGCGTGTGGAAATGTAGGTCTCTGAACCTGTCATTCTGCAGTCCTGCAGTCTGCTCTCTATTTCTTTGACTACACACCCCAGTGCACATGCCTCCCCTCCCCAACCTGCGAAAAATAACCACGGGCGGCACTGTCAGGCCTCAGTGTTAGTAATGTGCCTTTTCATGTTGTTCTCAAAGATGTTTTAGACACCCTTTCCTCCTCTTAAATATAAAAATCTAACTCAACAAGTGCCGTGTTTGTTGTCGGAGAGCAGACATGCTTCATTCTGGTCGGCCCTTTCATCAGCTTTTATCACATGAGGCAGACGGTTAGAGTAGGGGCCCCCCACTCAGGGTCCAAAGACACTAAGACCCCTAGAAGTTCTTCTGAGGGAGGAAGACTTTCTAGGCACAAAGTAGTAGAAAAAATGACAAAAGAAAAGGTCAGTGTATCTGAATAAAATCACGTACAACATTCTAAGACAGATTAGGAAAACAGATTTGCTACAGCCACAGCACAGGGTTAAAATCAATTGTATGTAAAGAGCTCAAAAAATACATGAGAGGAAGAAACACTAGAGACGTGAGTGCACAGTTCACAGAAGGGGAGTCCTACTAAACAGAAGGGGCGAGATTCAAACTGATTAGTTACAGAGTCTTATTAGTAATGAGAATTACAACAGATAAAATTTTTTGCCTACCACAGTATCAAAGAGTGGAAAACAGTACGCAGTGCTACATAGAGTAGAATGAACTGACACCTCTAGAGTGTTGGTAGGAATATAAATGTGTTGAACCTCAGAAAGCATCTTGTGATACATACAAAATACCTTCATAAAGTTCATGTTCTTCATTCCAGTAGTCCTCCCATTTTTATGCTAAGAAAATGACTGGGGAAAGTTTCACATTCAAGAATATTTATCACAGGATTATATGTGATTCTTTATAACCCCAAATTACAAACCCCTGAAATACCTAAAAATATTAAAATCGTATTTTAAAAGATTTTGTTAATATCTTGGGAAAGTGAAATAAAAACAGGATGCAATACAATACCATCTGGTCCCATTTATGTTTTATCAATATTTAGAAACAAAACTGGAAGGAAATCATCTGATACATTTTGGTGTGTCTTTGTATTGTGGATTTATGGCTAAATGTTTTTCATAATATTTGTCTATATAAAGTATTTTTGCAGCAAAATCTGTTTTATATATATTACATGTTTTATCATGAGAAATTAACATTGAAAAAATTTTTAACCAAACGGTGGGTAATATGCAAGTAAGGACAGCAGTCATACTAGTCCTTGAGTTATTTTTTAACCTTTCTAAAAGAAGATCATTTTTGGACTAGAAAGAGCCAAACAAAGACATCAGAATTGACTAAAATTGCGTATATTTGGTGTTAGAACACTGGTGCTCCCATCTTCATCGGAAGCTCTGGGGGACGTACGTCGCATGGGCCCTAGTCGGGGAGTCAGTTACTCTGCTTGGCAGGTGGTCTTTCAGAACACAGGGTCTGTCAGGGGAAATAATGAAAGGAGCCTTCCTGGCAAAGAGGTTTGGGAGCCAGTGGTCTCGGACCCCCAGCATTCAGAGCCACAAATCCCTGCGCTGTTCCGCTGTGAACACAGAACTACCAGGATGATGAGTGAGAAACTTTTGGCCAACGGGAATGCTGTCGGTTCTCTGGGTTTTGAAATTGCAGTTTAAAATCAATGGAATTTTTTTTACTGTGTGAAGCATAGAAAGTACCCTTGGTTGTTATACAGTGTTTTCAGTCTATTACCCTTCAGGTCTCAACCACTAGCATTGCATTTACCTAAAGGGAGATGTGTTTGGGTAGGATTGTCTCACCTCCTCTATTCAAGTTCCAGGGAGAGAAGAGATGGGAGAGAGGGGGGCAAATAGTAGGAAGCCCTGCCATGAAGGGCCTGCCCTCTCCCAGCTTGAAGGAATTTTACGCACAAATAAAATTAGCATCATAAGAAAGGGCCCATTGTTCAAATGCTTTGTTTTCTAAAAGGAGATGACTGCTCACCTTGGAAAAGGGTCCACTTTATTGGGCAACTGCACAAACAGGAGCCCTCTCAGAAGAGGAGGTTAAACTCCATGGTTTATGTGTGGGTTATTAAGAAAAATTTCAAACATGTATAAAAACAGAGTATATAAGGATTCCCCTTCCACATCACCCAGTTTCAAAAATTATCAACTCAGGGCCTATCTGTTTTGAAGCAAAATCACAGACAGGGTAAAACTCCATTCATGTATGTTATGCTTTCATGTGTATCTCTGGAACATCAGGAGTCTTTTTTTACCAGATCCAAATTGCCATCATCATTCTTTGAAGCACACAACCAATTCTTTATCATCATCAGATACCAAGTACACGTTTCCGATTCCTCAATTTTCCCATAATTTATTTTCCTCTGTTCTTAGCACTTCGTTTGCTCCAATCAGGATCCAGATGATGCCCACGCATTGCACTGAGTTTATATCTCTCTTTAGTCTCTTCTAACTCATAGGTTTTTCCATCCTGCTTTTGTTTTTTCCTTGCAATTTATTTGTTGAAGAAACCTGTAGAATTTCCCACTGTGTAGATTTTGCTGATTGCATCCAAGTAGTCTCATTTAACGTGCTCTTCTGTCCCCTGTGTTTTCTATAAACTGGTGGTTAGACTAGACGCTTGGTAAGGTTCAAGATTCAGCTTCAGTTTTCCAACAAGAACACTCCACAGGTGATGGCAGAGTGCTTCTGCTTGAGCGTCGTAAACCAGTGGGTTAGCTTCCCCCAGTGATCAGAGCAGCCATTGATAATTGTCAGAGCCATTGCTGCATTAGAGGTTTACCTGTATTTCTTGTCAATTTAGAGGTACCGCATTTGCTCTTTCAAGTCCAGGCCAACTAAATGTGCTCTTGGTGATTGAATTGTCCAGACAGCTCCAGCTAACCATTCTTTCCACGAGTTCTAGTAGAGCGGGTACACAGGGGGATTTCCTCGGCAGAAATACTGTCAGAACAACGTTATCCAAATAAGTCCTTAAGGGAAAGGGGAAGATATAAAAGCTATCAAAATATCTTGTTTGGGAAAATAATAGAGGAAAATGATTCCCTTTAGAAGTGTAGTCTTGTGATTACTGGGCAGTTGTGATGAATTGGCCGGGAACATGGTCAAATAGTTGGCTAACTTGGAAAAATAAAAATTCATGGAAAAGATTTTTTAAATCCATCATTTGGTTCCTAAGCCACAACTCTCAACTTTTGGGAGACAATGTTAGGAGCCCATTCTTTACTATCACAAGATAACTCCCATTTTGAGTTTTACAGGCAGAGAAGGGCAGGGAGCACCCTCGGCCTCCAGCGTACACTTAGAGCCTGTTACGAAATCAGCCAGTCTTCTGGATGGGTTGAAATGGTGTGGAGTATGTTGCAATGTCATACAGAAATTTAAATTTCAGAGATTCATGTCCTCAAGAAGAAATAATTTCCTATTAGGCAGCTTTGTGATGAATCTCTCCTATTTCAGATTGCTTCTCTGGACTTCATAAAACAATATATCCTAGAACTGTTCCACGTCTCCTCCTGTGTGTACTCACCCAGCCAGCAATGGTAACATCTCTCCTCCCTCATCTTCAGGAGCCAATGAGGTGCTTCTGGTGGTCGGGGGCTTTGGAAGCCAGCAGTCTCCCATCGACGTGGTAGAGAAGTATGACCCCAAGACTCAGGAGTGGAGCTTTCTGCCAGTGAGTACGGGTGGGGCTGGGCGCGGGTAAGGAGCTTGAATGTCCACACTCCTCACTCTAGATCATAACTAATCCCACCCTAGTAGTCGAGGCGCCTAGTAACAGCATAGTGTTCCTTACCACAGTGTTCACACCATGGGCACTTAGTAGTTATAGACTGATTCGACTTCAGAAGTATGAGTAGCACTGTGTCACACTAAACCCAGCTGGCCGCCACTGTTTGAGCGCCTTCCTGAGCTGTGGGTATAACTCGCAGGGTGCTCTACCAGTCATGCCCTGAACTCACTGTTAAATTGTGTTAAACTGGTGTTTGGTGGAACTCAGAAGTTTGCATCTTTCTCCCTTCATATGTCTCTGTTTCACTGCTGAATGAACAGTAATAATTCTAAGAAAACATGGAAATCTTTTTATCAGTTCTCCTAACTTTTCAGGCCTTTGAACCCTGGCCCTTAGACAGCAGCGTGCTAATGCTTTTCCACTTTAGGGAAGGAGGTCAGTCTTCAGCCCAGTGCCTTATGGAGTAGAAAGGAGTCAGATACTGGAGAATGGAAAGACTTTAGTTCCTCTGGAATCCTTGGAAAGAGGCAGACGTACAGAAGGCCTGCCTCTCTGAGAGCACCACAGCAAGCAGGAGGTTTTCATCCAGTAGGCAGAGAACCTCTGCTTAGAAGGCTTCTCGGTGGCAGGTGAAGAAGCAGAGGTGTGTAGATAAAAACAGAAAGGGCAGCAAAAGGTGAGGCCTAAGACTTGTGTGACTGAAATGACAGAGGTGCCCCTTCACTCCTGAACCCACAGAGCATCACTCGAAAGAGACGCTACGTGGCCTCAGTGTCCCTGCATGACCGGATCTATGTGATTGGTGGCTATGACGGCCGTTCCCGCCTCAGTTCAGTGGAATGTCTCGACTACACAGCAGATGAGGATGGGGTCTGGTATTCTGTGGCCCCTATGAATGTCCGGCGAGGCCTGGCTGGAGCCACCACCCTCGGAGGTAGGCTGGTGCACAGGGCGGTGTTTCCATTTGGGGTGGCTGGATTGGGGTTCACACCACTCCACAAAATGTAGGAGCCACTGGTAAGGTCAGAGGTGCCTTTCTGCTTTTGGAAATACTCGTGGATGTCTCAACACTGACAACAAAGGTGGTAAATCAAGTTCCAGTGTGCTGAGTGGGGAACTGGCACTAGTATTTTTGCAAACTCACATCTGGTCTTGGAATGTTTTTGAAGGTTCTGTCTTACCCCATTCTTTTTCTGTGTCTTGACTGTACTGTTCTCTTTGAAAAAAGAAAAGGACTTAATTGATTTATCCCATAAAAAACACTTGTCTTTACCCCCAAACATTTGAAAGAGTTGTGGAGAAAAGAGTTATTAGAAACCTCTCATTCTCCAATAGTCTGTGGTTTGTTCTTTCCAAGCAGATATGATCTATGTCTCTGGGGGCTTTGATGGAAGCAGGCGTCACACCAGCATGGAGCGATATGACCCAAACATTGACCAGTGGAGCATGCTGGGAGACATGCAGACAGCCCGGGAAGGCGCCGGCCTTGTCGTAGCCAGCGGAGTGATCTACTGTCTAGGTGTTCCATCTGGGCGCAGGAGAGAACTTGATGGGTGGCGTCCTCTGGGTGGGGATCCCTGTTAGTAGAATTGAGTTTGTAGACTTCCTTGAACTGAAACCTGAGTCTGTCCCATTGTCTTTCATTAACTGGGGTTCTTTTTTTCCTGAAAGCAAGGAACAGGGGCCTGTCAGATTTCTCTTTGGATTATTGGAACCCTTGAGGGAGAACCAGAACTAGAAGAATTAGTTGAAACCCTGGAGAAAGGCAGCCTGGGGTGGGCGTAAGGATTTACCGTTCTTTCTGGAATGGTCTCTGCTTTGTCTTTCAGGAGGCTATGATGGCTTGAATATCTTAAATTCAGTTGAGAAATATGACCCCCACACAGGACACTGGACTAATATCACGCCAATGGCCACCAAGCGCTCCGGTAAGACCCATCATATGGGAGGGGGCAGTGGACAGTGCTGTCAGATCTTCACACGTGTAGGGCTGCAGCCACAGGTCAGGCATTGAGCCTGAGCTGGAGTCCCTTCTGCACTGGAGATGGAGTAAAACAGGAGTCAGACCCATTCTCCCCACAACCTCAGCTTCCAGCCAGACTACAGTTTGAGGGCAACGCCTTCTTGTCTTACTCATTTTTAATGTCTTGGTTCCCTCCCTGCATTCTGAGTATCTGGTCCAATTCCATGTACATAGTGCGTGCAGAGTGGTCTCACACACGTGCAGTAGAGGGGCTCCTGAGTGCCCTGGGCGGGGACACAAGGAAGGGGAGAGCCCTGCCGCTGGGCACAGTGCTGCAGACCCAGAGTCACAGCCTTTCCTCACAGCCTTCTTTTCTCCCTTCCTCTTCTCCTGATGAAGAGGGCTGGGCTCTGACCTGATGAAAGCGAGGTTAACAACCAGTTCATTTTCTCTTTTCTCATTTCAAGTCCTGCCCAGAGGGTTTACAGGTGGGATAGCCTATGCTGGCCTGGATTCTTCTAGGCCTGTCTGGCCCAAGTCCACATCCCTCAGCCACCCCATGTTTCAGCTCGCCACCACTGACCACGTCTTTCCAGGATTCAGGCCCTAAGCTTAGTACTGTTCACTTTGTGTACCTTTCTCCCCAGGTGCAGGAGTAGCCCTGCTGAATGACCATATTTATGTGGTGGGGGGATTTGATGGCACAGCCCACCTGTCTTCTGTTGAAGCGTACAACATTCGCACCGATTCCTGGACGACGGTCACTAGCATGACTACCCCGCGATGCTACGTCGGGGCCACAGTGCTTCGGGGGAGACTTTATGCAATTGCAGGGTGAGGGTTTCAACAGACCAGAGTCCTTGTGCCTCCAGGGCAGTGTGATCCAATCTGCACTTCGGGGTTCAGGGTTTGGTTCAGGGGTGATGTCTCCACGGCACCCTTGCTGTAGGACTTGTGAGGGGAGGACCGTGCGGGGAGGGATGGGGAGCTCATCTCCTTGCCTCTCCCCCATCAGTTACGACGGGAACTCCCTGCTGAGCAGCATCGAGTGCTATGACCCCGTCATCGACAGCTGGGAGGTCGTGACCTCCATGGGAACCCAGCGCTGTGACGCTGGCGTGTGTGTTCTCCGAGAGAAGTGACCAGTCCAAGGGGCAGTCTGAAGAGAGCCAAGGATCCTTTCCAGGATGTCTGTTTCTCACTGTGTGCATGGGAGGATTACAAGCACCAGTGCCATGATGATTGTACTTATTTAATACCCCCTCTCTCACTGGTCCTTGTCTCCGAGGAGGGTGGGTAACAGACACTCAAGGGAAGAGAACGCGTGCTGAGTGGGTATGAGAGGCCAGACCACTTCTCCTTGCCGAGGGAGCACTTTCTTGTCATTTTACCTTAGCGTGTGCTTGGGAGAGTGTACGTGTTAAGTTGTGCCCCGTGTGTTATAGAGAATACGGTGAGTATGACCTGCGGGGTGTAGGCAGGATCCAGCCTAGATGACTGGAAAGATACCACCTCTTGTTTTCCAGGAATAAGTATCTTTCCTAGTCTACAGGTAGCAAGGGGCAACACCGTCCTGTTCTGGAGGGAAACAGAGGGAAGAGCTGTGTCAAAACTTTGGGGGCCTGGGGAGGGGTCTACCTGACACTCGAGGGGAGCAGGGTTGCTGTCAGAACTGGGTTCAGCGTGAAGTGAACTGAATTTGGTGGGATGTGAGTGCGCCTGCAACATCTGGAGGAGTGAGAGGGAGTGTTATTTGGAGAGTCTTCCCATTGCCCCAGGTGTTTCTGAGCTAGAATGTTGTGCCCTTGGCTCTGGAGACTGAGAGAGTAACAAAGAGGTGGGGGGGGGGTGGAGCGGAGATGGAGGAAGGGGCATTCAGTATGCCGGGACAGGCTAGATTCCCTGCCACAGCTCATCTGCCTTGAGTGGGTGAAAGACCGTCTTTCTTTATTGAATCAAATACTACTACACTATTACACATCCATACTATTTATAGGGGGATGGGAGGGGTGGGGTGGCAGCCACCTAGAAGTTCAGCTACCTGATTACTCCCCAGTTCTTTTAAGGGCATACTTCTGCTAAGAAGTGGTTTTTACTGCTGTGTTTTTTTACATTTAGTCCTTTTCCTACTATAATATCCCTTCCCTGTCTTTAGAGTGGATTTTATTCATCCCAGGAGAGAATAATTACCAGCAACCAAAATCCTTTTGTTAGTTTCAGTACATGCTGTCCCTGTGTCTGAGCTGCCATCCAAGGCTCTCCTGTACTATGGAGTGACATTCCTGCTTCGTGGGTGTTGGGAGCGTGGGGACGCGATAACCTAAACAAGGATGCACTTTCCTTTTGCTCGGAAATTCCACTTTTTCCTCTTTTCCCTGAGTTGTGTTGACCTAAAGTTCATTTCCTTTGTATTTTTTTAAGAAAATATTAAAAAAAAACAAAGCAGGGGTCTCAAATGTCTGTAAGCAAGTTTGTGGCAAACCAGCACCGCCTTGCAGACATTTTGGGGGCCAGGCATAGAGATTAGGTGTAGGTCCTGTCTCTTCAACCTGTTCACCTGTGTGTTTGCCAATCAGCTCTGCTGTGTGTCTGTTAGACAGGGGAGAGGTCTCTGGAGATTCTCATCAGTGAAATGTCTGTACGCATGTTCATGGACTCCTCTCACAATTGGGGTTTACTTGAAAACCACAAGAAATAAAGGAGAGGCAGTTTGGGCTTCAAGTTGTACCTACTTGTTTTAGAGTTTTAGTTGCCCCAGTCGTTTTTCCATTTGCTTCGGTTTGTGCCACGTGATACAGTTATGCAGAAGGCCTGCAACACTGCAAAGATGCTGATACTCCGAGAGCAAAGGGAAGGGGGGGAGCCAGAGCCTTTCACAAAAGCAGCCCGCCCCTCGTGAGCACGTTGATTGTGCCTGCTGATTAAACCAAGCTGTGATACATGGGACTCAGCCTCTCCGAGGCAGAGAAGGGCTCCTAGGCCAGCTTCTCTGCTTGCTTTTCTGAGTTTCAGACCAGATTCCCAGTCGTTCTCACGTGGCAGCCGTGGCTGATGCCCTGTTGCGTCCTCTGTGCCTGCCCTAGTCTTCGGTACTGCGCTGCTTGCGTACCTGCACGAAGCTGCCCATTACTTGCTGGTCCCTCCTGTTTTTACAGCTCCATGAACTGGCACCAGCCGCTTGGTTATCCAACCTCTGTCACCTGTGTGTGTGACCACCACAGTACAGATATCCAGTTAATTTCCAGGTTGTAGATAGCTTGGCTTTAATTGTTCCAAACCCATTCCTGTATTTTTATTCCCTCGGCTACCACATAGTTCAGACTTTATCTCTTACCCAGACTCAAGGTTATAGTCTCCTGATAGCCTTACTTCTGCTCTTCTGCCTGCCAATCTGGCCCCTCCATTTTGTCATCAGTTATATTTCTAAACCACAGATAGGGTATTACAGTACCTAACATACAGCACATTTTCAGTAAATACTAAAGTTGTTGCTGACCTAACATTCCATAGATTCCCATTGCCCATATTACAAAGTTTGAATTCCTTAACCTGACATTAAGACCCACGGTGATCTGGGCACACTCTGCCTTTCTGATCTTACTCCTTCACCCTTTTTCCCCAGTATAATGTGCTCCAACCACAATAGTCTGCTGGCCATTCCTTAATTTGTTCTCACACACTGTTCCTTCTATCTAAAGTAACCTTGCTCTCCTGACAAAATCCTAGTCACCTTTTAATGTCCAACTCAAGCGTCACCTGGGTAAAGCCTTTCCTGTCTCCCCGGACGGAATTCCTCCTAACCTCTGCTTCCATCTACTTTGTTCCCTTTCGCATAGTTTGGCCCCATCTTCCTGGTGAGTCTATGTTCTCAAGTACAAAGTGCCTACCCGATCCTCAGGGTGTATAGCCTATTCTGTAACTGCTAGGAAATGTTGTTTGTGAAGGACAAAGTGGAAGAAGAAAAAGTGCAGACGGGGTGGTGGGTAGATGAGATATTAATCCAGGGGCTTGGTTCCCCTGTCCTTCAGGAAGGCAGACCACGCGGGCAGCACTACAACTAATAAGCCAGAGATCTTAAGACTAATCAGAGTAGTGAAACAACGCCGAGCAGTGGCTTCCTGCCATGCCTGGATCGGTGGACTCGGGAAGGTAGCCTTCCGGGCTGCACTACAATCCTGTAAGGAAACCGTGGTGGCTCGAGAGTTTAGTTTCTAAAGCGCTTCAACGCCACGTCTTGCCACGTAGTAAATGGTCAGTGTGATGAGAACAGAGCAGCAACTAAAACTTCAAGCACCTTTTTCCGCCCCAGAGGTATGTGTCCCTGCAAGTCGTGTCCCGTGGGAGCCACTGCGGCTGAGACCTGGTGATGAGGGTCTGACCCCGGGTCGTCCCCGTCGTTCACGAGACTAAATGCACACCCGCACTGTACCAGTTTTCACTCAGTGTAAGGGAAGCCCGGCGCCCAGGTGAGCGTGGGCAGAGGCTGTGTCACATCCACGAGGCGTCTGTCACAAAGCCATGTCAACACCCAGCCTCCCGTCCGGCGAAGGGCGGCAGTTGTGCAGTGGCGTCCAGGGCGGGGAAGCGGCGCCTGCGCAGAGAGAGCGCCGCCGGCTCCCGCGCCGCCGCCGAGACTGCGCCTGCGCAGTGCGGAGAGGTCGCACTGAGACCGCGCCTGCGCATCGCCGGGACGAGGTCTAGGTGGCGGCATGGATCCTGTGGCGCCGCGGAGCGAGCTGGTGTCGGCCGAGGGCCGGA